GCTTTGAATCTCTTTACCCAACACTTCTACTCTAAATGGAAGTAATCCCAACAATTATGAAACAAGAGACTTTGATGATCATAAATTCATAATCCTATTTAACTTCCTATTTCGCTAATATACTTTTGCTTACAGGCACCGCTTGCTATGTAGTAAACTCCCGTGTAATTCATTTTGTCTAACCTCATGTTGCGTGGGTAAACCTATAAAGAGTGATGTTTATCCTTCCGTGGTCACCTGAATATTTCAATTTATTAATATTTGTCATAGATTTGAGTAAACGAATATAAGTTTATTTTCATGCCAACAAGTTTTTACTCTTTTGAATAAATTACTTATAGGGTGTTTTTAACTTATTTATGCATTTAACTATATTATTCATTAAATATTTATGAGAATACAGGATAATAATGATATAATATCCATTTATACATTTAACTTTATTATCCATTACATGATATTTAGAATACAGGATAATAAAAAAGAGGTGAGAGCGACGATTCTATAAGTAATCTTAATATTCATTTATAGATGTTGCTGTTGAATTTGAAGTAGGTAGTCGTTATTTTCAAGTTCATCAGTCGTGTTAAGACTTTCTTCTAATCTTCTCTGCTTATAGGATATCTACATTTCTATCCAGGATTTCCAGCAAGGATGTTAATGACCTGTCTCCAGAGATGTTTCTATACATAGACTCTAGACATAAAACCTAGCCATAATTCTGTTCATTCCAGTTATAGGGTTTGGATCCCTTAAGCAAATCCATATTAACTCTTCACTGTGGTTGATAACCTGTTATTTAACTTCTTTAATTTCAAGCACATAAAATTCGCCTGTTTGTATTAATCTCCGTACTATTTATTGACTGTCAGCTTTAGCTTTTCTTTTTCTTTTCTATATTTTCGGTAATCCGTAGGCTTCTTGCAGTAGTAAATCCTCTTTTACTAGTGACTTCGTTATCCATATTTCGATTACTCAGTCTTTATACATGACAGTGAATTAATATAAAATGATAAATGAAGAACCTAGAAAATATGGCCTTCGTATTGTATTAGCAATTATTTGAATATGATGCCGTCAAATGTAGCTTAGAATTAAATAATTTTGTTCACAGTGGATCGTGAAGTTATCTAGTGACATGGAGCAAAGATGATAATTGCGCATTTAACTTTATCCGTAAATACATTTATAATATGAAAAATTGATAAAATTAATATTTAATACCGGAAGCCTGTTTTGGATTCGACTGGATTAACACTTATTTAGAGCTTTATTCGTCCTTACATTTATGGATGGCTAATTCAGACGATGAAGAAAATAAAATATAGATAAAAAAATGCTCTGTTCGAAATTGACCTATACTCTACCTCTATGAATGCAATGCCTGCTAACAACAATTAGGTACTTGTCATTTTAAGTCATTTCTCTAACCAGACATACTAAAGATCATATTGAATACCAAATATGTTTATTACTAGTTAGCCACTCCTAGGAAATTGCGCGCCTCAGAAAAAAAGACATCTTTATTAAATTTATTAGCAGCGGCGGATTTATAAGCTGTATTCGCTTTAGTTCGCTTACGGTAATAAGAATAGTTTCAGGTATTCTATCAAAATAATATGACCATAGCTTAGGTTTAAATTTAATTTCACATAGTCTTGCTTTTACAGAAGTTATTCATATCCAGGGTGGACTGCAATTTCGATCTCGCCGATGTCTTATAAACACCCTAAGCATGACTAAACCATGGCAATGAAGCGTATATGCTCATAATGTTAATCACTACATTAAATTGCCACTAGTGTCCTTTGACAAGAAAAATATGAATTTAAAGGAAGGCCAGGCATTTTCGCATGTTACGCTCGTGGAAATATGGCTTAGTGGTTAACGTGTCGAGATTATACGGAGCGCTATTATGGTTATAGTCCTGCTAAAGGTGCTGATGAGATCTGGACAAGGTAGAAGCTGCAGTCCATTCTAAATAAAAATACCTTTAGGAAAAGCAGGCTATGTAAAATCTAATATAGGCGTTAGGTCCACTCATAGCATTATGGAAAAATTCAACTATAAAGGGCTTATACCTTATATATTTGTTCTACTTTTAAATTCAAAACCTACTTATAAACGAAACAGTGAATTTGTTGAGTTTAGACCTGTGCTCTAATATTTTATTATCGTTTTGTGAATTGCAAACAAAATAAATATTTTATATTTAAACTGGGTTTCCCTAATTACATAAACTTCTAAGTTTACGACAACCTCCTATTTTGAAAAAATATTCTAATGTAGTTGCTCCCTCTAGTAGTACAGGATAATTATTCTATATTTTTTAGAATTAACCCTGAGAAAGGACTTTATCAGTAGATAAACATTATGAATTTTGGTTTTTTTGAGGTTGTGTAGGCCAAGATGACATGGATTTAGCATTGTTTGAGTCTCCTTTCGTTAAATAGAAATTGCTTTTACTCATTTTAGCAATCTGCTCCTATTGTTAAAGAGACCTAGTTGAAAGTAACTTGTCCGGAGTCTTTGACATAATATCCATGATTATTTACAGCAACGAACCGTGGACTTGGTGCATCGCCAGACGTCTTGCAAGTATCGTAATCAGTAAAAGCAGAAAGGTGATCTGGGGACTATATTTAGCTCTTTAGTTAAATTTAGTTTAATACGCAGAATAACTCACGTAGTTGCCTTTAACTAAGCATATAAATAGGTTAAGGCGAAAATGTTACGTTATCAAAATAGCCCTCAAGTATATAGCTATTTTAATTTGATGTTTGAACTTATTTTAAATGAAACTTATTCAGATTACGTTTCTGTGTGGCAATTATATTTTTTATGGAAAACGGACGTAATTAGCAAATTTATGAGTGAATAAAATGGTTTAAAAGAATAACCTCAAGGAATTGTTAAATTTCTTTATTTATAAATGTAATATATTAATATATCTATATATATGACAGTTTTCAAACAATTAGTTAAATTCTAAAGTTAATATAAAAGATTAAACTTGTTCAACAAAAATAATGTATACTAAATTGATTTAAAAAGTTAATTTAAGAAAGATCTTTTAAAATATGTTTTGATGGAAACTATCTAAGAGCCCGCTAATTTTAACTGGCTACTTTTGATGTGCAAATGAAATTGTAGAATTTCTTTGTGCTAAGTGCATACTTCAAGTCTGATATACACAAAATAAACAATTGAATGCTATTTATAACAATTGATATTTAAAGAAGTGTACCATACTAATGTGCTGATACATAACTTGTAAAATCGTCTTATAACCCCGTATTCCCAAAATCTACTTTAGCTTAGAAAATCAAAGTAATTATATGCATAAAGTAAACTACACAAAAATACATTATAAGATACTGATTATACTATCCTTTTTTGATAAGACAAAGTGAAATTTATTTTTGAAAATAAAGTCGCTGTTATAACTGATATTTGATTCAGATATATTCTGCGGAACATTTTTTAGCTTTTTGCATATTATATGATACTTATTAATATGAGTTAGGTCGAATATTATGTACAATTTTTAAAAATATTCTGCTGACATCTATCATCTATAGGATCAAAATCTATAAGATTTATGGTCAATAATCTTATCCATGGGTACAGATTATGCTTTATTTAGTTTCTGCTGATAATGATGTCTATCATGAATAGGGTGTAATTTTCGTAATCCGATTATATCCTAATTTAGTGAGACCTTTTTTATTTATGCCGTAATTGTAATTATTAATGGCAAAAATGTAGAAATTAAATCAAGCTATATCACAGTCTTTTAGGGGAATGCATTTCAGCATTAAAATGCCTCAGAGTACTTACGTCTCATGGTCAGGAGACTTTTCACCAAGATTTTAACAAAAATCTAATTTATGATAAAACCGTCTGGGGTCATATTCCATCTCTATTTTTTCCACTATTTCTTAAGTTAAAATTATGAAATCTTTGATTCAAAAAAATCTCATTTTTTCATTTTCAGTTTATCTTTTACTTTGGCTGGATTTTTAATAAGGTTTGATTGTTTGAGCTAGGCAGAATTCATTCATATTTTAAAATCAATTTTCCAATTCTTTTAACTCTCACTTATCCCTAATATTTTAGCATTTAAAGACTCGGTACAAATATTTTATTTTTTGAATTAAGCATATGTTAATTTAACACATTTTAAACTTTAATACTACTCTTTGTTTTCAAAAAGCTTCTCAAAGCACTTCTAGCAAGATTTAGAAATGCGGGTTCTTTCAGAAATAAAAATGACACTGCCATTTTATAGTCCTGTATTCTCAAGATATTAAAGATTTTTACTTACAGGTCATCATTTATTATTTTTGAATTTGTGGATGCTTTAATTAGGAAATATCTTTATTTGTTCTCGCGAATGGGACTCAAGTGAAATAACTTATGAGCAATGGGTATCCAAAATCATTTATTAGGTTAGGTTATGAGACAGAGAAATCTATTGTTGATATTTAAGTATAAAACCGGTTGCGGCATTTTATATTTACCTAAAACAATATTTTATTGGCTAACTGTAGTGAACTGATTAATATTTATTTCATATTAAAGCGGATGACTAATTCATTAATCCAAGCGCTCATACTTTATCTAGTTCATTATTTCATTTATCTGATGCTATTCCTTTGCAATTAAATTCTATTTTTTGACCTAATTTCCTTCTGGTAGGTTACCATTACGATCGCGCCCCCAACAACACCGCTGGAGAAATTGGCCCTCCATTATTTTGCAATCCGCACAATATCTTCGAGTACTGCAGTAGTTTATGTAGTAAAAAGTCCCAATATTGATCAAATAGCTGACCCCAACCTCCCTGATTCAAGTGCAATTACCTCAAATATATTTCCGGCATTATCATCAAGCCCTGAATCCACTGTACAATCGCTCATCATGCCATCTACTTTTCTTTCCACTGCTGTTTCATCGCCTGCCTCATCCATTACTGCATCTCCACCTGAGATGACGGATAACCAGTATTTTCGCGGCAGTCGTGACTTCATCTTCTATTTACTCGCTCGAGACAATGGAACACCACGTCGATTGACCTCTCGTGCTCGTGTTACCATACGCGTCCTTGATGTCAATGACATGCCACCTATGATCTCTATCAATTATCTGAATGTCCCGAATTCATTTCCATCAACTTCTAGTTCCCCTGGAGGACTGCGTTTCCCAGTTAATTCGGCCTACCGGACAAGCCAAACTGCATCTAGTGACGGTTATTCGTCCTTTTACCTGAAACCGGCTCCTGAAGTTTCTTTTAGGCAAGCAAGTGAGCCTGCACTTGTCACTTCGGGTACCAACCGCGGATATCTAGTAGAAAACAGAGCTCGGGCTCTTGTTGCTTTTGTTTCAGTACGTGACTACGATTCAGGTGATTGGGGTCGAGTTCGCTGTCATACAGATAACGAGGCATTTACTCTGGTGCCTATGCTATCATCTCAATCTTTTCCCTCAACGTCAAGAACAGTACAGACTGAAACACGTGTAAATAGGGTAGCTATGGATTTATTTGGAAGTAATAAGGGAGGTACCCTTGGTAGTGAAAACATTCCAGGAAGTTTGGGATCGCTTGCAAGAGATCCTAATCTAAACGGTCCAGTGATGGATGCCAACCAGGAAGCAGGATACAAATTAATGGCAACCAAAGCCTTAGATCGTGAAGAGACTCCGGAGGTAATGGCTCTAGAAATTTCCTTTTGTATTAAAGTCCTTTCTATTTTTATATGACCTTAAATAACAATATATTATAGAGCTATGCGTCATCAACTCGATACTAAAAATGCTGCATCTAGACTTGCTATGTACCAACTGAGTGTGATTGAGATAGTTTTGATAAAAAATACATTAGCCAATTATGCTTCAAAGGGTCTGACAGGCGTTCAACAACATAATACCCAATATGGAGGAAAATCCGTGTGCGAGAAGAGAATTTTAGAAAAAGTGCATGACGGCTGTATTCGTTAAGTCAGATAGCTCAATTTTTTCCAACTTAAATGAGTAGAGTCTACGCTTCTATTAACTTTCAGAGTATCCTGCTTTCCAAAAGATATTCTCATCTAGGTTCGATTGCAGTTCAACTTGTATGAATGTGGAAAAATTCAAATACTAGTTCCCTTATCACTTTAGACGAAATAAGGTGAATACAGTTCATATATAAATAATCCACTTGTCTTCTCGTAAACATACTTATAAACGAAAAAGAGGTAACGTAATCGATTGCTATAACAGATAAAACTGTGCTTCATTGACAATCACACCATAGAATGTGATATGCGAAAATTCTTGACCTTTCTGAATATTCATATCTGCCCTGTAATCCAAGGGGACTAGTGGAAATGTGGTGTAATGTAGGTGCCGAGTTTATACACTGCACTGGCATAGTTCGAGTTCCGTTAAGGGAGTTGACAAGACCTAGGCGAGGTCGAAACTACAGTCCACTTCTGCCTGGAAGAAAATACCTTTTGGGAAAGCAAGGCTATTAGAGATTTAATGGAAACGTAAGCTCTATCCATCATTGTGAATATACTTCATAAATAATTATTCGACTATCCCACCATATAAATGCGATACGGAAAAAGCCAAGGTTTCCTTGGAATTCACTTCTGCTTTGTAAAGAGAGGAAATGTAGCGTCTTTGTTAACCTGCCGAGATTAAATGCTGTACTATCTGGATTTGAGCCCTAGTAAGGCTACTGATGTGTCCTGGCTGAGGTTAAAACTGCATATTATCTTGAATGAGAATACCTTTTGGGAAGCAAAACTATCCAAAATGCAATTATTATATGAGGCCTACACATATCATGGAGGGAAAATTCAATTACCTTAAACGAATATACTACTATCCGATCTACAGCTAGTCTTGGAAACCAACCTATACAGAGAAATAACTAGAGAATGGTGAGACCAAATAATGAAATAAATATGGAATATTGTAGTAAAGTTTAAAAGGCACAAAAACCACGATTTATTATGTGGAAGAAATTAATATTTCTTACAATATGTAGTCTTTTTGAATAATCTAACTATTAATTTTAAGAATAGATGGATTTCGAAACATAAGGCTAAAAGCTATATATACGCATAGGTAACTGAATTGTTAGGCAAAGGCGAAGCCTGTTAAACAAACAATGTATGCAAGTGAGTAGTCATCACCGAAAGCGATAATTATAACGACAAATATCTGATCAATCTACTTTGATCAATCTGCTTCTCAACTACTTTGAGCAATTAGCCACTCAATATCCTGAATATTTATCTGACTTTCTGCCCAATATGACTAGCTTGTCGAATGAAAGTTTGAAGTATATATGTGGGAGCCCTATTAGAACAATCTACTTTTAAAAAACGCCATTAATTCTGATGTGTACCTCTTAGTGTTGTTATAATAATTACATGGTTGCCTAAGTAGTTTGTTTGTGCTACGTATCAAAACATGCAAACCAATGAAAAGAATAATGCCAGTAGAGGATTGCCAATACCTGTTAGAGGTTAGAGAGCCTTCATTAATTATGATAACATGACAAACGAGCAGTAGGCGAAAATAGGAATGCAGTGGAAGATAAATAATCCACTTTTTAATTTACTCATAGTAGAAGAAGATAAATTCATTTCTTTTAATTCAATAACATAAAATAGTTGATGTACAAACTTACTATGAAATGACTATTATAAATAAAGGTAATTTACAACTTAACCTGTGTATTTCCATGAACCTAAGAAAATATATGGTGCTTATCATTCAGAGATGTAAGCATGAATTCAATTATATAATACAAAATACACTCTTATTTGCTAACAATAAATATTTTAATTACATTGGCATGAATAATTTGTTTCTTAAATCCAGCTCTTAGATACGACTACAGAATAAAACCTAACTTTTATTCCTGCGGTTAAAAATGCAAATTAGCAATGTTATAAATTTAGCTTTCCTAATGTGCAAGACATATTACTCTTGGTTAGTGTGAACTTAATCGTTATATATTAATCATCATACCCTTAACCTATATTTTATTTATTTTAATTGCCTATGTTTTCATTAGGCAAAAATGTGATTGCAAGTTCAGATACTACGTATGATTTACTTCCATAAATCAGGTTAAGGAAGACGAGATTTTATAAAGTTTGGCAGAAATACGCACAGACGATAAGGATCATTGTTCATCGTAAAGTAGGATAATGGCAAGAATGAGCATACTTTCTAAAGCTTCATTATGTTTTTCAGTAAAGAATCTATTGATTTATCAATTATAGCATTTATTTCCTAGCAAAAGCCCCTACAAATGCTTTTACTAGTTTGAGTCATAAAGCCACGATTATATCAGGGTATTAAATATAATCCAATATAACCTCACTTAGAGAGATGACCTTAAGCTGTATAAGGAATGCTATAAATTTATATAATATGCAAACTGGTTAGCATTTAAATGAATATTACCTTGAGACTTATCTTTTTGGCATGTTAATAAATTATTTGTATAAAATAAAATAAATGATAAATTTTATTGTCTTCTTTGCCTATTACATATAACTCTGCGAAGATGAAATATTTTATTTTATTATAACTGTCATCTATATAATAAACATTGGGTTATACTGCTACATTTCATAGGTGGAAATCCTCGATGGGATAACTGATAATACTTTGTCTTTAATTGTAGATCTGAAAACTTTGTTAGATTTGAACTTTAGTATCTTTTTTGTAATAAATTGTTTATCCCGTTGCAATACCTCAGGACTGTCCAATGAACCTCTGTTTCTGGTTTCAAGTTACTAGTTTACCATTTTTGAGATAAATACTTAACTTCTAATTACAGAGAATGAACACATTTCATTTTAGAAATAAATTTATTTGCCAGATCTAAAAAAGATTTTGAAAAATACAAGAAATTTTTAAAAGGTTGTGGCAGATAATTAATTCTCCCTTGTGTCACAAAGCAGATATGAATTTCAAGGAAGGCCTGACGTTTCGCATTGTATATTTACATGGTATGATTTTGGAAGGAAGCAAAGATTCATTTGAAAATAAAATCGACTTTACTACTTATTTTAGTTCATAAGTAAGTTTTGAGATTAAGGAATATCATATAGATGCTTATGTTCTATAACTCAGAGGCATTAATAGCAATTCTAGGTGTTAAAGTGTTGAGACCAAAACAGGTTTCACTATATTAACTTTATCTGTACATGAATTTCACCAAAGCCTGTACTCTTCAAATCTTTCCGTAAATATTATTTGACAAAATATTTTGAGGTGACTGAAGACATTATAATTGAGCCGCAAATTTAATTAAGGCTACGATCATTCAATGCTAATTTACCACAATATATGCTATACTTTAATTAATTTACTTGTGGTCAATGATGATATAAGCCGAATTTAATAGGTTAATAAGATACTGCTTAGTACGTTCAGATTATCGAAACCAGAAAATAGTCTGTTGATTAGCTGACCTCGTTGACCCTTCTAGATTTAAAAGATAGTTCAACTGTAATAGATCATAACCTTTTTACATATTATCCACAAGATTCTCAGATGGTAATATGCAAATTTTAAACAGATCCTTTAATTCTGTATGAGCGAAAGTCCTGAGCTTCTGGATGGTAAAAAAAGCTGTCTAAAATTAGCCAGCTTTACAACTTGCAAAAAATAATATTATTGAGTATCCTATCCAAGTTTATTAAACTTTCCACTTAATTTG